GTCATGATAGTGAGCCATCATCATATGGAGAGGCAGTTCTCAGCCCTGCATGGCAAGCAGCCATGACTCAGGAATTTGAGGCTCTCTATACAAATAACACTTGGGACTTAGTCCCCTTGCCAGCTGAAAGCAGGCAATAGGCTGCAAGTGGGTCTATAAAATCAAACATAAAGCAGATGGTAGCATAGAAAGGTTCAAGGCTAGATTAGTGGTAAAGGGGTATACCCAACAAGCAGGGATTGACTACACAGAGACCTTCTCCCCTGTTGTCAAAATGACAACAGTTAGAGTTTTGGTCACTGTTGCTGTGAAGAAGGGCTGGGACATATTCCAACTAGATGTAAACAATGCATTCCTTCATGGTGATTTATATGAAGAAGTGTACATGGAAGTACCACCAGGCCTTCTAATTGATCAAACTGGTCCACAAAAGGTAGTATGCAAACTTAATAAATCACTGTATGGACTAAAACAAGCCAGCAGACAATGGTATGCTAAGTTGACTGAAGCTCTATCCTCAATGGGGTATAGACACTCTGAGAATGATTACTCACTCTTCTCCAAGAAGACCTCTTCTCACACCATATTTGTAGCTGTCTATGTTGATGATGTTATCATCACTGGGGATGATTCAGTTGAGATAGCCAATTTAAAATCATTCCTTGATAAGCAATTCAGAATCAAGGATCTTGGGAAACTCCATTACTTCTTGGGCCTAGAAGTCCTCTACAAGTCAGATGGAATTATCATGTCTCAAAGGAAGTTCACCCTAGATTTGTTAAAAGAATATGACTGTTTTGGCTACAGTAGTCTGTCTTCTCCCCTTGACCCTGCTGTGAAGTTGAAGGGTGATGAAGGTACTCTCCTTCCAGATCCTACATATTACAGAAAGTTAGTGGGAAAACTGAACTTCCTCACCGACACACGACTTGACATAGCCTACAGTGTGCAGCTTCTGAGTCAGTTCATGCAAGCACCCAGAGATACACATCTGAAAGCTGCATTTCATCTCCTCAGGTATCTCAAGAGTGATCCCACTCTTGGTATATTCTTTTCCAACAACACTGACTGCTCCATTAGTGCCTACTGTGACTCTGACTGGGCTTCATGCCCTGATTCTAGGAAGTCTGTTACTGGGTACATAGTTTTGGTAGGAGATAGCCCCATTAGTTGGAAGTCAAAGAAGCAAGAAACTGTTTCCTTATCTTCAGCTGAGGCAGAGTACAGGTCGCTCAGGAAGATAGTAGGAGAATTGGTATGGTTGAACAGATTATTTGAGGAGTTCACTGTTTCACAGTCCAGCCCCATTGCTGTGTTCTGTGACAGTCTATCTGCTATTCACATTGCTCACAATCCAGTTTTTCATGAAAGGACAAAACATATCGATGTTGATTGCCATTTTGTACGGAACAAACTTCAGGAAGGCTTGATTTCTCTCCACCATGTGGCCACCACTAATCAGCTAGCTGATATACTCACCAAGGCACTTACTGGAGTCAAACATCATGCCGTACTTGGCAAGTTGGATGTGAGATCCTCCCATCCAACTTGAGGGGGGGTATTGAGATAATTAACTTATTTGCTGAGTTGTATTAGTTGTATTTGCTGAGTTGTATTTGTATATCTGAGTTGTATTTTCCACGTGTGCATATATACACACACTTTGTAATTCTGAAGTTCGAGAGAGTCATTTTTAATATCAATTTTTCTATTTCTGTTCTCCCGGATATTTTCTCTCTCTCTCTCTCGAACGTTCCAAACCACCATTGAAGCTCTTGCATGAGCTTAATCTTAGGTCAAAGTACAAATCTCAATAAAAACAATGAATATAGAAATATACAGGTGCTAAATTTTGCAATACTGACTGACAATACACATTTTCAATCTCTGTTGAACATGGCAATGCGTACAAACTGAAACATTATGTTATTACTGTTCACTAAGCGTACTTTTCATATAACTATAGCACGTATAGATGCTGCAAATACCAAGTGCAAATGCTATTCTCAATTTTTTGCATTCACTCTTTTTTTAAAACTGTATGGGGTCGAATTTGACCGACCACGTCCCTAAGCCAGCACGACCGACCAAATATATGTGAGTCCGGCTAGAAGGACGACTTAGGAATAATAAGAGGGACGACTTCATGATCACGTCGGCCCCTCTATAGCATGTACTTTATTTCTGTCTTTTAATATTTAAGTAAGGATCCTCTATTATATAAAGGGGGTCCGAGCATTGTAAAAGGGGGGATTCATTATTGGAAATACAAGCTCTCTCTCTCTCATCTCTCTAACATTATCTCTCTCTCTCCGATTTGTATTGTTGTTGTCTGAACCAATTGCCAAGATCATCCTAGGGTTTATTATCTTCGATTATGATTTACCCCTTCATCTATATTGATTGATTTGCTTAAAAAGTGTTAAACAACTTTTGAGTCAAACAATTTAGTGCCGTCTGTGGGGATTACGGTAGTCGAAATCATACTTCACATCTAGGATATCGAAAACAACAATAACTGTTCTTCAGACTTCATAGAAACTAACAAATGGCAGATAAAGAATCAAGGTTGAAGATGATAGCAGATGTCTCAACCAACCTCATAGGCCCACTCAACGAAGCCGGTAAAGAAAATACCGCGAATGTAACACCAGGTAGTGTACCGGAGGGGGAGATCTCACCCTCTTCACTCGAAGATCTAACGATTTTGCATGAAAGAGGGACTTCTACGTCTGTAGCAAAGGAAACGCCCCCAGTAGTCAAAAAGCTACTAGAGAAATGATTGACGAACACTCTAAGTAGCATGCTCGAGAAACCACCTCAGGGAAATATCAAAGATTCGTCAATGGAAGAAATCGCCGCTGCCGCTGGTGAGCCCAGTGTTGTACGAATAAGTAACGCCCACACCGATACCAATGCAAGCGATGATGCACTCGCAACCATCCTTAAGAAAATGGAAGAAATGGAGAACGAGAATAAAGCGCTTCGTGATCAAATGAAGGAGCACCAGGAAAGGGTAGACAAGATACCTGGTGCCCCTAAGCTACTACCGAAACGCGATATGGGAAGGTTCGTCGAGCAACCGTATAGTGAGGAAGCTGCTCCTCACCCAATCCCTAAAACCTTCAAGATGCCACCGTACTTGAAAATATATGATGGGACCACGGATCCGGAAGACCATCTGATCCATTATGTGACTGCCGTAAAAGGCACCTATCGAAAGAACAGGTGCCATCCGTGTTGCTGAAAAAGTTTGGTGAAACTTTGACAGGAGGAGCGCTAACATGGTACTCTCAACTGCCAGCCAGATCGATATCGACGTTCGAAGAGATGGCGGACAAGCTCGCCACCGCTCATGCAGGAGCAAAGAAGGCCGAAGCTAAGGTCAACGATATCTTTGCCATCAGGCAAACAACGAGTGAAGGAAACAGGACTTCTTGGCCCGATTCAACAGGGTAAGAATGGGACTGCCAAACGTATCAGAAGGAATGGAGGTCGCAGCTTTCCAAAACGGGTTGAATAGAGACGAATCCAAAGCAACCAAGAAGCTGCTCAACCGACTCATGAAGTATCCCCCCACCACGTGGGAAGAGATTCATAATGCCTATTGCGCCGAAGTGAGAGCAGATGAAGACGATCTTAACGGTCCAACCCAACGACTAATGTCAGTACAATCAGAGGTAAGGAGGGATTGACGCAACGACGGGCGACGGGAACCACTCCCACGCTTCAATAGAGAAAGGCATCAGCCTTACGTCAGAACTCCCAATCCGCCTCCTCCAAGACATCCAGATGCCGTGCAGCGACATGCCGCCCCGATTCGGAATGAAAGAGGTATGCCCCCATTATTATCCGCTCATAACTTTTGTGTCTCCCTTTCAGAAAGTGTACGCACTGGAGAAGTTGGGCATGAAGGTGCAGTGGCCACAAAAAATGAAATCAGATCCTAGTGCAAGGAGGTCGAACGTCCTATGTGAATTCCATCAGGAAAGAGGACACAAGACCGAAGATTGCATAGGTCTACGACAGGAGGTGGTCAGAATGCTGAACCAGGGATACCTGAAGGAGCTGCTCAGCGATAAAGGAAGGGATAATTTCGCCAGAGGACGCGACCAATCCCAAGGACCACCAAAACCACCTTCTCCAGCATGCACCATACAGATGATCGTCGGTGGCGGCGACGACTCGGCAATCAACCATGTGAAGTTCACCACCACACACAAGTTGAAGCGCACGATTGCTCACGAACGGTATGATGACTTCGAAGATAGTATCACCTTCGATAAGTCTGATGCCGACGGTTTGTCTTTCCCTCATTGCGATGCTTTAGTTATAACTTTACGCATTGCTAATACTGATGTGAAAAGAATCATGGTAGACGACGGAAGCGGCGCGTGTATTATCCATCCAAAAGTCCTCATGCAAATGAGGCTCGAAGATAAGATAATACCGCGTCGCATAACACTAACGGGTTTTAACAATGCAGTAGAGCGAACCTCCGGAGAGATATCACAGCCAGTCTTGGCAGGAGGAGTCACGCTGGAAACCACATTCCACATCATGAATCAGGAAACAGCCTACAACGTCATCATAGGGCGTCCATGGATACACGACATGCGAGCCATCCCCTCGAGTTTCTATCAAGTAATCAAATTTCCCACCCCCTGGGGAATATTTAGCATTCGAGGTGAGCCACGTACCGCCCAGGAATGTTACCAAATTGCCCAAGACTGCACACATACCAAACAGCTGAAGGGAGCAAGCGCGGAAGCATAGCAATCAGCCATGTCGGGAACCAAAACCAACCCGGCGACAGAGGTCATTAGGGACCCAGATACCGTAGAAGCTTGCAAAGCGACAGTCGAGAACCTCGACCCGGTCCAGCTGGACGGTACCGACAGTTCAAAGAAAGCCTACATCGGGCACAACCTCTCCGACCCAGGTAAGTACCACAAATTCTTAACTAACCATGTGGATTTATTTGCCTTCTCTCATTCAGATATGCCGGGTGTTGATACCCAATTTTTTCCTATGTATTTTTATACCCAAAATACTTCCAAAATAGCATATATGTGCATATATAAGCACACCCAAGAGTTTTGGTATTTTTTTTATTTTTTTAAAGTTCTTAAAACCAATTTATTGCCTATTTTAATACAACAAAATCCAATAATTATTCCCAAACTATCATTATTGGTGAATAATTTATTTTTATTCTCACATTTACACCAAAATATAATTAAGGTAATTTTTTGTATATTTTTACAAATTTGTTTGGTATTTTTTAAAGTTAATTGCATATGAAGGCAATTATAGCCTATTTTATGATTAATAGTGTTTTATAATTGTAAAATTAGTTCTAATATTTTTAAATTAATACATATGTATTATTAATTGGTTTAGCATCTTCAATTTTCTTTTAAAATCATTTTCGTTACTATTTTTATAAAATAACAGGGGAAAACTGGCTATTTCAATTTTGGCCACATTTCATTTCAATTATAACCTCAATTTCATTTCAATCTTAACCCCAATTGACCCCAATCCTAATGCCCAATTGGGCCAGCCCAATTCTAATAACCCCAACCCCTGACCCATTAAACTAAACCCGCCCAGGATTCTTTTGAATCCAGGCCGTTGATCCTTTTGATCAACGGCCACAAATGACCCTTTCCTTTTTAATCCCAAACGACCTAACCCTAACCCTCATTCTCTCAGATAGCCGCCCCCAAACTCTCTCCTTCTCTCAAACGCTCCCTAGCACTCGAAGCCCTAATCGCCTCCCTCGTCTTCTCCGATCAATCTCACCGGAGTCCATGGCTTCTCAGGCCATGGACGTCCTGTGCTCACCTTCCTTTCCCCCAAGCCTTGGTCGTTCGAGATTCCGAGGTCCGACCTCGATGGTGTTCGAGCAGATCCTCCACAGATCTGTGGTTCTATGGCCTCTCCGACCGTGTTCCGGCGTGTTCGAGCTTTAAGAGCCTAGCTATGGCTCAGATCTGTTCGAGACCAGACCCTTTCCAAGCCTTCTCATTTCTAGGGTTTCAGAGAAACCTAAAGCTATTCGAGGTTTTTCTGTTTGTTTTCTTTTAGATCTATGCTATATCTGTGCTATATTCGATATTTCAAGGGTTTTCCCCCAATTTTTCTTTTAAAATCATTTGATTTTCAAATTAGGGTTTCTGGAAAAAACTTTCTGGTTCTTTCTTCTCTTTTCTTTATGTGTGTTTCATCTGTGTTTATCTCGTATGTTTCTTCTCTGCTACGCACGTATTTAATCTTCCGCTTTTTCTTTCTGTTAAGCATGATCCTTCTATGCTTTGCATCTGTCCTGTGCCTTTAGCCTGAGCTCACATGAGTATCTCTGCTATGTGATTTTTTATTGTATGTATCTCCTACTGGGTTCTTTATGTTTACTTGCTTTATCAGATTTTTACCAAGTTCTTCCTAAGCATGATCCATCTACTGTTTTCCTAAACCTGTATCCCTTTTTCGCTTCTAAATTTGTTTGAGTGACAAGCTTTTCCTGAATGTATTCCCTACGTTTCAAAC